CGTTTTCATATCCAGCTTGGAGAATGACGCTACATGTGCTATTTTCTGACTACACTCAAAAGTAAACCTTTCTAATTCTTGAATGAGAATCAGTGACTCACAGAGTCAAGCATACCAAAGGTGCTTGCTTAATGGTTAGTTTTTAAATAAATGAGGGACTGTACATTATACCCTAATGTACAGTGGACTGATAATGGGCAAAAGCTCAATAAAGATTTGTTTTGAAAAGTTGAGGTTAAACATGCAGTTAGATGTAATACGAAACATTAAGTTAGAAGTAATACGAAAAACAGGAGACATGTCTCAAGTTCTACTTCTGCCTGGGAGAAGAACTGAGATAAGAAGGGCACATTCAAGAAACATCCACACGTGCAAACCAACAAATAGGGATCCGACCTGCGCATAATTCCATGTGCTATATGTCTATCAATAAAAGTTGGTGCTATCTTATTTTAAAAGCAAAATTTCTCTTTGAGGCCCATTTGATAATGTTTCTGGTTTATAAAAAGGGAATCACAGAAGGGAACAGCAAAGCAGAACTACTTTTCTAGTTTGATGTGGGGCAGGAGCTTGCATCAAGCAGAAGTGTCACAGGCTATGTACCACCTGGCTAAGGAAGGAAGAACCCAAATGCATACTAAGCACCCTCTATGAGCCAGTCACGTTGCTAAGTGCTGTTTCACTGAACCTTCCCTACAATGCTGTGAGGCAGTTATATTTTTCTCTACTTTGCATATAAGGGAACTAAAGACCGAATGGCTTTTCCAAAATCACAGAGCCAGTAAGTGCAGCCAGACTTCCAATTCTAGGACCTACCACCTTAACACCAAGGATAGGAAATCCAGCTCAGAGTGTGTGTCCTAAATTGTTATCCCTTTCTTTTCGCATTCTACAGATTTTCTAACTCCATGAAACAAAAAGAACCACTATATTTTTCGATATAATCAACTATTTAAATGCCCTGGAGTTGGTAAGAGGAGGTCCTTGAGTTCAGATCTGATATGGAAAAGGCTGTCAGTTTTTCCATATAATGAAATGTAGAATATGATTGCATATGTGGCACTCAACATGCATCTCATTCTTCAGGCCAAGCTTTATTTGACATTAGTAGATATAAAATTGAGAATCAGCATTTTAGGTACGTTTCACAAGATTTTTTCCAACTCAGACTCCTTTTGCCTTAGGAGCAATTGCAACCTTGAGTTCTACCATGGATGTAGAGTGCCAAAATAGAGACAGTCACTGGAACAAAGGATTCCAAATGTATATTAGATTTGTCTATTCCAAAATCAGATTTTTGAAATAAGCACTAACCTGAGATATTTTATGTGTACCAATTCATATGTAATGTACAGTCATTTTAATGCACATGCAAACATGGTGTTTTCTGGGATTATGAAAATTTTATTAATAAAGAAATCTGCATTATACACATCCCCTTTAAAAACAACCACCTCAAACATGTAGAAACACTTCGTTTTCTATTTGCTATTTGATTAATGCCAGAAGAATGAAACCACAACACCAAAGTACAGACCAGTATTTTTGAAGGGGATAATAATCATTTGCGATAATAAAGTACTAGAAAAATCAGAAGAAACAAATCAAGGTATTCATTTCAAAGGCTAAACCACTAATTCTTCATCCAAATGAATGTTTCCACTGTGAGTCAATATATTTGGCCATCAGTTCTTTTTAACGCTATCCTGAATGTACAATGCACATCTAAAAGCATGATAGAACTCTTTGAGTATAGTAAGAACTGACAGCCAATGTGATTTACAGAAATGTATGGCCACATAGCAATAGTTCAGAGACAATCACTAGAAAATATAAAGGTGTGCTTCATGATAGGAAATGATTGGTTTTGCAGGGCAGCTTTTAAGTTTGTTTCTGATGATCTTTAAATAACCACTCCACCGTGGTCCTTTATCCCACCCTTCAGTAAAATGTTATAAACATATTCCACACATGCTGCATGCCAGAAGGGAAGTACAAGAATATTAAAAGATTCTGATGCCCTGGACATGAATAGAAAAATACGTATATAATGGGTTCTTGCTGTCAGAACAACGCGCTGATGTCTGCAGCTGGAAACCCCTCAGAAAAGATCATATACACTTTTAAGCCAAAGAGGAAAAAAAGTTAGGCCTGTTACTTGACTACACTTTCTAGGGCTCTGGTGTAGCTATATTTTTAGGCATGGCTCCAAGGAGCAGCCTACACGAATTTGGATGGAGTGAGGGAGGCACAGATGGTGGTCACGTGAAGGCACAGACTGATTGAGTGGGCTCACTTACGAAGTCTGTACATTTAGGCTGCTGTATTCCTCCTATTTCAAGTACTGCCAAGACCCGGCTGTTCTCCTTCTTTCCAAAGTCTTGATTCATTTAATTCTCCTGAAGGAGGTGGAAGAGGAGGAGGATTGCGCAAATCTTACTGTTTTATGGTTTAGAAGAGACAGTCACCATCTTGGCTCCTTGTCAGATTTTAAATGTAACATTTTGCTAAGTGTAAAGCTGTGTATCTGTTCCTTTTCTGTTGCCATTATTGTAACTTCAATATTTGCAAAACACAACATCAAAATACTTCAAATCCAGCCCAAAGCTGTTATTCATGCAACACAATTCTTACATATATCAATATACAGTGAGCTCAGAGCAAAGGAATCTTTTTTTGTTTCTTTCTTTCTTGTTTTGTTCCTTCTATTTACTTATGGCTTTTTTTCTCTCTTTGGGGATTTAAGAATGATTTTATCACACAATACTAAAATCCCCATTATATATATATATATATATATATATATACACACACATATATATATATATATACCATGACTATTATGCTATTATAAAGCTTGTATTATAAAGCTTGTTACCATGTCAGCTCTTACTGGTTGCATCATCTTTTAAAAAAAGGAAGCACATAAGGCTAGTCTACCATTTGAAATATCCTATGAATCACTTATAAAGTATAGAGCACCTGAATGATGTGGAGAACCTTATTTTTTTAATATAAAAACCTGTAGTGTAGACTATAAAAAATTGTTAAAGATATTCAGGATATGCTTCTACTGGTGCCTGATTCACGGTAACTAGCATTAAAGTGCTACTTAAAGGACAGGCTACAAATTCCAGATTCTTAGTAATTTTCTTCTTTATGTAGGAAACCCTATCAAAAATCAAAATGGATTCAGTTATTAGGATATTTTTAATAGGGCACAAACTATTTTTCAGGTCGTCATCAGGATGCTTGGTATTCTGTTGACATAATTTTTGTGTGTGATCAATTCTGTTCCAGAGACTTGTCCACTGGGCTCTCCCATGTGCCTTGTTGGCCCGAGCTAATGTGTAGGAAGGCCATTTTTAAAGTGGGTCAAAACATAAAAAGGTGTTTTATCTGGAGGACGTAAAGACATTTACAATCTTCGAGCTTACTAACTTAACATTTTCCTTTTTACTTGGATATTTATATTGTGTAGAAATTGACATCATTATCATAGTCAATGGAATTATTCATCTTTCTTCTACAGCAAACAAGAAAATGTTTTTCTTTTAGGGTAGAATTTCACGATTAGTGAGGTATATCAATAGGCAACGTAGAGAGGCAAATTGAGCTCAATTTTTATCTTGAATTCGTGCTTTCAACAGAGAGCATGCTACTAGAGAAAGTTCTTGATAACATTAATGTTGCATGAATTTCCATTTTGAGCCCCTTCCTTAATACACTGAGATAGTTCAGAATGTAATAATAACAGAGAGAAGTTTCCCCTCACAGGGGACTTGTGCTTTAAGTTACAGTCACTTAAAAACAAAACAAAACTAAAACGACGGTCCAAGTCAATGGACATACTGCTCGAATAAGAACTCCAGAACATTATGTGCAGGTTCTGTGCATACAAACCAATAATAGGATTATCAAAAGTAATAATACAGTTTCGTGAATGGAGCACATCAGTGTTATCCAATCTTCCTCAAACATACTTGGTTATGATACTTCTCAGCATATCACAAATGTGCTATTTGTATCAACATTTCCTGTTACAAATGCTCTTGTTTTTGTTTATGTGAGTGTTTTTAACCTGAGCTGTTAATTTAAAAAAAAATTTTTTTTCCTTGTGGTGCTTGGCTGTCAGAAGGAAAAAAAACCTTTATGCCTCTTCTCCTGTGAGAGTAATTTCTCTTAACACCGACAGGGCTGCATAAGTGGAGTCAGAGCTCATTAAATAGACTTCTGAGCATAATTATAATTAACAATTAGCTAAAAATTAGCTTTAATGATTTGTTTTAGATGATAGAATAGAAGCATAATGTAATTATTTTTAAACCTTCTACATCATTACGAACACAACTACTACCACCTTTCAATTATTGAGAAGCAGACAGTCATCCAAAGCAGTTAGCAAGTGATCTACTCACACAGCCCAACTAAGGGAGCCGAAGAAAAGAAAAGGCCACCGCCCCAACCCAGGTGTTTATAATTACTCAGCCTTTTGCAAAGCCTCTTCCTTTTCTACCCTGCTCCTTTAAGCTACTTCATGCCTTGAAGGCATCTCTGCTAGGGAAAATAAAGAGATCCAACCTAGATAGTCAGCTCTTCCCCCACCTCCTGCCTTTCTCCAAGACACAGTGAGGACCATGGCAGGAGGCGGCATCAGAGGCAGACCCCACAAAATTTAAAAAGTGTGCCTGAAATTCACAATTGACATCATCAAACTAGACTAGCAGGAAAGAAGATGATGTAAAGTAATGGATAAAATGAGTAATAGGAATAAACTCCAGACTGTAAAGATAGATCTGTGCCATTCTTTCCCTGTTCAGTGTTCTTTTAACTTTTAGTATCCCAAAATCAATTTGGGTCTTGTTTTTTTTTTTTTTTCATAAGAATGTTCAAAAATACAATAGAGACCTAAAGAAATGCTCTTTTGTTTCCTGGAAAATATAAAAATATTCATTTTGAACAGTGAATATTATTTATTGTCAAAGGTTTTTATTCCTTTCTTTGTTTAACAAAATTTTTTTTTAACCTCAGTTAGTGAGTATGCTGCTTTCTCTCCCAACTTCGAGCAAGAATCTTAGGCCTTTTGCTGCTGACTTTCGGAAGTTGCTAGGGAGCGCATCCTGACACCCACATAAAAGACCTGGTACCTATGTTTCCACATCACAAAGCAGGCCAACAAGCACACAAGGCCACAGACCAAGTTAAGAATCATCTGGACGAGTAAGAACAGTTTGAAAGTGCCAGTGACGCTGGTACAGTCAGTCACATCCCGGTACACAAAGGTCCTGCTGAGCGGCTCGGAGGAGGACGCCAGTTTGCACTGGCAGGAGTCGAGTGCGGTCTCACAGGTAAACTGTGCGAGCTGCGAATAGTGGTGGGCAGCAAAGGCCACGGCCAGCACACAGGCCATCAGGCCCAGGGCACTCAGCAGGAAGTACAACAGCTGCAAGAAAGCACAAGAAAACCTTTCTGGTTACAAAAAACACTGGCTGACTATTTGCAAAGCTAATGAATCAAAACTGTTCTTTTTCTTCTCTCCCAGAAATTCCCTGGTAGAGGGGCTGTCTCTCCTCAGAAACATAGTGCCCAAGACATGGAAATAGCTCCCTGTTTATTTATCAGTGAGCAATCCTTAAACCCTGATCACATTTTCAGTTGCCATCCAGATGTTGAGCCCTTTTCGTGAATTGTGACAACCATATTAGCTTGATCGTGGGATGTTTATGTCTAGACGTGGCAATCCCAAGCAAGCTAGCCATTCCTGGATGGCACACTGTGCTTATTTTGACCTTAAGAACTGCTGGTATTAAGACTAAAACAAGACTAGGAAATAAAGAACAGATTTCTGTAATGTCAACATTGTATTGGCCAAAATTAGCAATGACTGGCAAACTAACAACACAGGTTAATAATAATTTTTTAAAAGACTATGTTCAACGTAGTATTTGCCAAACTGTGTGCATGAATGTCAGAGTCCCTACAAAGAGGTGGCTGAGAGAAAAAAAAATTATGGCTCCAGAAGGCAAGAGACATGATGTCAGCTTCATCACCTATGAATCTTATCCCAAGTCCAACTATAACTACGTAGTTCCTGAGCGTCAAAATAAGCTCTAAATGGTTCCTCAGCCACCAAAGTTTTGAATCCTGTTGGCCTCCATGTTAGCCTTGGGACTGGAAAAGTCTGGTTAAAGCTCTCACTCTGCTGCTAAAGAACTGTGGAATCTCTGAACAATTCAGTCATTTCGCTTACATCTGAAATATTTTGATCAAAAGTTGTGGTTATTCAGTGACATGGCCACAATAAAATTTGTTTTACAGAGCAATTTGTTTTACAGAATTTTTTTCTGTAAAAAATTTGTGATTGGAAACATTTCTCCTAATGACCTACCTGTTGACATTCTAGGTAAGGATCAGAGTCCCCAGCTTTTCGGACTAGTGTATGTCGTTCTCAGTATAAGATTTATAGCACCACAGTCAAAAGTTGCTCTTCACAGGGAACAATTCTGGTGAATGGGAACTTCCCAAAGTAAGATTCCAGTCATTTCCAGGTTGAAATTAGAGTGTCTCTGAAAGATTATGTTGTCCTCCCACCTCCGATTATATATAATTCAAAATAAAAACATAGGCGAAACTATAAAATATATGTAGAAAAGTCCTCCAAATGAGTGATCTTCCACACAATGATTTTCCACATAGTGACAATTTCAAGTGTTTTCAAGTTAAATATGGAATATCGTACTTAAAATTTAATTGTTTCTCTTTCTTGAATGGAGCATGTGTGTGTGTGTATGTGCACACCTGTGTGCATACTAGTTGCTGGTTCCCCAAGCACATATCTGGTTTGCCTGTAAGGGAATCCATCAGAGATCTCATAATGCTTGACCGTGTATCTGAGGTCACTGGAAGAGAATGGAACCGGTCAAAGCCATTTTTTGTCTTAATACTTCTTAATATGTCTTAACCATGGAGTGCATGGATTCTTTAGATCTTCTCACCAAAGATATCTTAAACACATACACTATTTTTCATTTTCAAATCATTTGAAGGGTTGTCAGATATAACGCAAGTATCTTCATCCGTGAAACAGTTCATAGAAACATCTCATATCTCAGGGACATAACAAAGGGTATACTCAACATATTTAGTGTTCCTTGGAGGAAGGGAACCAGATAAATACAAGGTGGCACCATTATAAAATTTTAAAAGGAATTATTTAATTTTAATATAGAAAGTACCGCCTTTATCCTGTCCCCAATATTTTCAGTGACTATGCTTTATGCAAAAATTGGAGTGCTTAGGCTAAAAAATATGGTTTTATTTTGGGGGCTAATGGGGCAAAATATTTGAACTATTCTGGGTTGCTCTGAAATATTCAGGCTTGATGACTGACTTCAATTCTTGGTGCCAAGAGATGTGCTGTGTGTATACGCCCCTTGTATCTGCATTTGCAGTGCAGCCAGCAGAAAACTGGAAACTATTTGCTCTGGGAATACCGGTGTATCTTCTAGCCAGCAGGAAAGACCCAAGTTAAAATGATCATTTCCTACCTGGTAGTCATCTACTTAGTAGAATGGCCCCAACTGGAGTTTTCTCTACATTTTATTGTCATCAATGGATGGAAGTGGGCATGGGAGGGTGGGGTCTTGTATTAACCCTTGTAACTCCAATACACATGCATCCTTAGATAGCAGATCTCTGTAACATTCACTGGGGCAATATCTTGAAGCAATGACAATATCCCTCATTCTCAATCTGCAAATAATCCAAATAGTTGCAAAATATTTTATTCTCTCGTGATAGTCACAAAAATCCATTGGCTGAAAATGGGAATTTTGTCTATTTTTAAAAGATGACTTTTTGGCTCAGAAATAAAAGATTTGCCCAAGACCATTTAACAAGGGCACAGCAGTACTGGGTGGTGATTAAGAGCATAAAATAGGGAGCCAGATTGCCTGGGCTGGAATCTTGGTTCTGTCCTCACTAGCTGTGGTTCTTGGGCAAATTAATCAATGCCTGTGCACCTGTATTTCTCCATCTGTAAACTTGGCATGGTGATCACAACAGCACCTACTTCATAGGATTATTATACGGATCAAAAGGCTCGGTAGCTGTAAAGAGCTTAGAACAGTGGTTGGTACACATAGTAGCGCTATTGAAGTATTTGTGAAATAAATAAATGAGTAGAGATGGGAAGAGCTGCCAGGTCTGGGGACTCAGGATATCAACTCTGCTAGCTTTGTCTTGTTTTCTGTCACGTGGGAGTAACAATGCATAGCTGGCTTGTAGGGAGGATGTAAACATTTACACAAACACAGTGGTTGCTCAATTTTAATTGAGCGCTTAAATATGCTAGAAACCAGCAAGAGCACAAAGAGAAACTATGCCCCTTGGCTCCTTTAAATATGAATACATTTACATCAGTGCATATCGCACACAGAATGACTGGGCTTCTCCCATTCGGAGAAAACATCAGGCCAAGGAAACCAGAGGGAGCCACAGAATCAAGTTTCTTGTCCATTTTAAGACATAATATATCCTTAATCCCCCAGAGCCTGTGGGCTACCTCTGCAGCGCTGTACCATTTTTCTTCCACGGCTTTTAACTCATCTGACAGCAACAAGCTTCTGGGTTAGAATCTGTAATTTAAAATCAAGTGGCTTGCTTTACCTACACAGCACGAATAAACTATCAGTGAGAGTGTTTACGATGACCTTGGGAATCTGAACAAATATATCTCCGTAAACGCAGGGCGCGGGAGGCATCTGTCGCGCGGGTGCCAGCCCGTTAGTCTGGCGCTCGGCCGCGGGCGGGGGCGCGGTGGCCCCGGGCGCTTATGTAACCGCAGCGCCCAGGCGCGTCCCCGCCGGCTCGCTCGCTGCCTCTAATTGGTGCCCGGCTGCAGCTTTCACGTTCGGTGGCTTCGGGAGGAGGGTGGCTGTGCTTCGATTTAATTACCTTCCCCGGTGGCCTGGATGGTCAGGGCCCCTGTGCAGCAAGCCGCTCGGGAGGAGGGAGGAGGCTTGCCGCAGCGGCCCCCGGGGGCCTCCTGCATGTGGGCGGGAGGGAATGTGCCCGGAATGTTCCCTCAAGCACATGACCCCGACACGTTTCTGAGCCTCCAGGTGAGCACAGAGAAAGCCCGGCCACGAGGAAAGGCAGGAGGCGCGCCCTGAGCCCGGGGAGACAGAAGGCGCTCCCGTGGCCTCGGGGGCCTGCCAAGGGGCCGCTGTGCAGGATTGTTCCAGCTTGCGACGAAAACAGAGCCTGTGGCTGTCGTCTCTAAAAGGGAGTGTGTGCGCGTGCAGATCACAGTGAGACTGTCATTAAGGCCTGATTGCTTGCCCTGGCTATCTGGTCATTCAACAGGAGGAAGTAAATGCTCCATACAAAGCTTAGGCCAGGGTGCCAATATGGGGCATTAAAATGCAGCTATGCGGATGAGAAACCTCTTATGAAGGTGCATTTCATGTCCCCTCCTCCCCTCCCCCAAATGGTGTGAGAAGCATGAGGGAAGTCAGCTGTACCCTGTTGTGTGACTGGAAAACCTGGAGATTGGCTTTAAGCTCACTTTCGACCTGGTGACAATCTAGAGTGCAACCTTAGAGAGCTGGCAGCAAGCATCACTAAAGGTCACATTCGAGAGAAGAGAAAAGTGCCTCAGTATTTGTCAATGTCTGTCACAGGTGGGGGAAAAAAAAGGGCAGCTAATGAGATCTTCCTAGTGGGGAATTCTCAACCTGGCTGACATTGGCAGCGACTTGTTTTTTCGTTCTTCTTTCTTTCTTTTTTCTTTTTCTTTTTTTTCGCTCCCTATTTTAACTAAGGTGCAGATTTTGAGGGGTGGCTTTGGGGGCCTCTCTGAAACTGATGCTTTTGCTTGTGCTGTTTTCTGGGATCATGGCGGGGGGCGATGAGGGCATTTGACATAAATTGATGAAAACCTAGTTTGGGTTCTTTTTCACCGACCGAATGAAGTTCCTATAATTTAACAGGCCATTTCTTACTAGGGTTTCTGGCTCCCCACCCCCCACGAATCCCTCCAATCACCAGGCCTTGCTGTTTAGTCAGACCTCTACCAAAAAAGTAAACATGAACTGATGTCTACCCTATCTGACCTTATAAGGAAAGTCCTCAGGTAGAAAAAGTAAAATTCCACATGGAAGCATATCCACCAAAATTCTAACTTTATCAGTTTTTAAAAATAGCATCTATTAATTTTTAATTAAAGTTACGTCTAACTATTGGAGAACATTTCAAATTAGAGAAAAACCGCAATATGCAGAGAGAATCCCACCATTCACAGATAACTTTTCTATACACATTAAAATTTTTTTTCTTCTGTAGGATCATATCATGCATTTTGGGTAACCAGCTTTTTTTCATTAATTAATATAATGTAAATTTTTTATTCCACTAATTACTTTAAAGCATGATTTTTAAAATATCAGCACATTGCTTTTTTATGTTGACAGCTTCAATTATACTAGAAATTCCAACACATCTTATTTTTTTCATCTTAGTAATTTCCAAATAATATCATTAACTTACTCTTATGCTTTATATTTTCTTGTTATAGTGAGCAAAAGAATATCCAGTTTTTATATGTTTTCTTGTAGAAGAAAAGTAAAAAATGTGGACTAACCAAAAAAAAAAAAAAAAACAGGAAGCTTTTTATTCTTTGCTATAGTAGTTGAGAGAAAATGCAGGAATTTGATTTCTACTAACTCTGATTGCTGAGTTCAGTGTTTATGTCCTTAAGCTCTGAAAGGTGGGTCTATGTTTCCCTTTGGAGTAGATTCTATTGTGCAGTGAAAATACTGTGTGCTTGAATTGGCTCCAACCAAATGCACTGTCCCTAATAGAGAAAAAGATACATGCAAATAAAAGACACACACACTTGCCAAACCATGCATATCCCACCCTCCTCTTTGCCCTGAGACTCTTGGCACAGATCATTTGGATGCACCCAATGTACTTTTTCTGTCTCAGTGATCCCGCCTACAAGAGGAAATACACTTAGATTGCTTCATTATTAAAATATTCCAAATACCCCCCAAGATATACAAGTGGGTGCTGAAAGAGACACCTTTTCCCTGGCCAAGTGTTTTCCTGAACTGATGAATTTTCAATATTCCTTTTAAGGACATTGAAGGACATATCCTCCATGCCAACCTAGTTCATGGAAATTAAGACTTTAAAAAAATCAGCATTACCTTTGGGGTCTGGATCAATGCCCTCTTAAAACATTTTTTGGCCTGCCTAAAAATGCAATTTCTAGACTGATCAGATATGCAACCCCTTAAAAAGGCACTCCTTTATTTCGTACTTGGATTTCTTTCTATGCAATATAAAAGAGAAAGAAAATCTTAACTTACTTTCATACAAAACTGGATACATGTCCGCTCGTCAACTTGATATGAGACACAAAGCATAAACAAACCAAGATAGGCCACTAAACAGACCTGCAATGGAGAAGAGAGAAGAAAGGATGTTATCTCAGCAAGTCGTGCATGCGAATCACATGAATGTTAGTGTCTTTCACCAGTGACATCCACGTGATCAAGCTGCCCATTTTATTTACTTACTTTTACGTGCGGTGGTTTTTTTTCTCAATTTGTGGAATACTGGTTTCACAATAGTTAAATCAGTTTATTTCAATTTAGCCACTTACTTATTAAGTCCTTTTGATGTACCAGGTACCGTAGAAGATCCTTAAGAGTATATGATGATAAATAAAGTTTACTCAAGCTTAATCAGTTTATAGTCCAGCACAGGCCAAAACAAATGCACACACTATTCTAAGGCAGGGTATTATGTGTCAAATGCTCTTCAGAAAAGAAGAAAAAGAGGAAGAAATTACACTGAGTTGGGCAAGAGAAAAGGCTTTACTCAAGAGATGGATTTGAAATGGTCCTCAAAAGGGATAATATTAATGATCATTAACATTGGCTAAATACTTGCATATGCTGGGACTCTTTTAAGGGCTTTATGTGTATTTTCTCCTGTAATAATCACAGAACTCTGTAAGGTAGGACCTATTATGATCCCCACATCGTAAATGAGAAAGTGGAGGCACAAAGCTAGTATTAATAAAATAATGGAACCAGGATTCAAACCAGGTAGCCCGGGTGAAAAGCGGCAGCATGAATAAAAGTACAGAGATAAGATTGCACAAAGAATTCTTGGAAATGATAGCAAATATGCACCCATAGTTGAAATAACAAAATACAGAGCAAAAAAGGAAGGATGGAAATCTGAGGATGTGGGATTGATTTGGTAAGTAGTGGCACTCCCTTGAAAATGTTTGAGCGGGGGAATGACCTGATTTGAGACAGGTTTCAGGAAAATGAGCAGTGGTGTTGGGTGGGTCGGCAGTGAGAATATCAGGATGTTATTTTACTAATCTGAGCAAGATTAATATATCAGGCGTGCCAGAGCCCAGTTGGTGGCAGGCAAATTCAGAGAAAGAGTGGGGAAGACAGGCATAGTCAGAGCAGAATCTATATGTACTGGCTATAGCATGACTGATTCTGCAGAGGGAGAAATAGAAAGCGACCTCCAAGTTTCTGGGAGTCAATGATGGAAAGAGGCTGGATGTGCCTGGCCAAAAGAAGGCTGCCTGGAGGAACGGCAACTTTGAGAGAAGATATACTTGACTTGTTAGTCAGACTGGATTTTCTTTTTCATAAAACAGAGTTTTTAAAACTATGATTTAGAGTTTCTAATCAAAGCATATCTATTCACATTCAATTTGGGAAGGCTTAAAATGCTGATAAAGTTCTACACTTTTCGTTAGAAAACATAAGCAACAGAATTTCATTTTCTGATAAGCACAATTTTCCTAGAGACAGATGTTGGAAAGCTTGATGAGAGTAACCCAGCAGGTCGTCAAACAGCTGGTTTGGTAATATTCATAATTCCTACCCCAGGGCCAGCTTCAAACCATAGGCAGTCCTGTTAGGGTGGTAGAGCTGTTTGCAAAGCCAACATACCACTTTAAGGTAATATTTCTATCCCATTCTTCCCTTGGTTACACAATCAATAGGCTGCCTGTGCCCTCACCGGTTCCCAGGTTAAGAGTTGTTCACATTTCTACTGGACCATGAAGCCAAAAGCCAAGCCTTCTCTTAGTACAGGCTGTTTCCAGGGTTTTCCATCATTAGGGTCGGCTGCATGGTTTGATAGCAGCAGATAACATTTGCAGTGGAGGGATACAGTATTAAAACATTGAGCACGGCATAGACTGGAGAGGTCTGGAGAGAAAACAAAGCAGACAGGACCCAGGTGGCAGCTTTTTAGCAGAGGGCTGGCAGATGACACACTAATGAGCCTAAAGTTATTCGTGTAGCCCCTAATGTGGGCGACAACCTCAAGTAAAGGATGAAGTCCTTTTTTAAAGCTCACTTTTAAAAAATACTAAATTGGGGTATAAGTTTGATGAGGCCTCTAGGGGTTTACTATGTATTTTCACATTCAGAGTTTACAGCACTTGAAACAATAGAAGAAAGATTTCCTTTTTGTTTATTGGCGACAAACCAAATTGAGGCTTCTAAACCTGCTTCTATGGGGATTATTATATCCCTAAGCACATGCCTGTGAGTTTCTGTCTGCAGGTGCACAGGGTCAGGCTGTCTCCCACAGAACTATCTTTGTCCCTAGAGACTGCTGTGCTGACGTTGGCAATTGCCAAGACTTTCCTTTTTGTCTTTACAAGAATACATTCCAATAATCAGACCTAACTGACCAGCATCTTAAAAATCTGATTCGGTCCCTCTCCTTGAGCAAAATTTCCCATGTCAGCAGTAGCTACTCATTTGTAGCCTTCATTTAGCCTGGTTTCCAGCAAGAAGTTGCATAGGAACACATGATCTCATTCTAGAACATTTCACTTATTCAGTGGACAGAAATTTATTAAGGATACACAACTGCCAGACCGTGTGCTATTGGGTGACCCTGGGAGATGAGAAATGAAAAAACATAGTCCCTTATTCCAAGAACTATCCAGCCTCCAAGGATCTCTCAGTCCTGTGGGGAAAAAAAGGAGAGTAAAGCTACAATATCATGTAAGGCGAGAACCACGTCTGCTGTAAGAATACACAGAAGGGGTAAATTACCTGCAGGAGACTTGGGGAAACTTCCTGGAGAAAGATAGGTTTTGAAGGAAAAACAAAAACAAGTTAGAAGGAGGGTGTGAGGAAAGGTATTCTGGGCAGAGAAAGTAATAGCAAGGGCTAAGCGACAAGAAATGCATAATAAACATCCAAGGATTCCTGTAGGGCCAGTGCAGAGAAAGACAGGAACGGCAAAAGACGTGTTTGCAGAGATGGACGAAAGACTTTTATTTCAACTAGGACATTTTAAGCAAGGGAAGGGTGTGATCAACTTTGCCTCTTAGAATGGTCCTTCCATCTGTGAAGAATGGATTGAGTGGGGGCGATATTTGGGGTGGGAACACCAGCTAGGAGACTGTTCTCCTGTGGAGAACGGATGAGTGCCTGCATTCAGGTAGAAGTGGGGAAGGAGAGTAGGTGTGTCTGAGTGACAGTAAGGAAGCCGAATAATCCAGAGGTTCTAAAGATGAGTTAGATGTAAGGGCTGAAGGAGAGGGAGGGGTCCAGGACGTGCTTAGCTGCCTACCTTGAGCTGCCAGGTGAGTGGTGTAGACATTTAAGGAGAAATAAGACACAAGAGGAGGGGCAGAATGGGAGTGGAGGATGATGATCCCACACGGACTCAGAGCTCAGCCATATGGGCCTAGAGTCAGGAACCAGGTCTAGGCTGGAGACAGGAATGTGTCAGTCATCGGCGTATGTGAAGCAGGTGAAACCACAGGAAACACTGGCCCACCCAGAGAGGGCCTAGCGAACGCAGAAAAAGGGCCATAGAAGTCACACAGTTATGAAGAACCTTTGAATCTTTGGAACAGAAAGCATCTCACGTATATTTCTCATAATTTTGGTTGTACATCAGGTCACATCTAAAAATCATGAAACTGATTTTCCTTTTGGATTTTTGAAAGCTTCATGTCTCGGTTCTTTTGTAGGGTATTTGCTATAAAGTTTCCATTAATTCAACATATTTTAATTTCTTGGCCTTCTGATAGGGCTCGATAGGTTCTGAGAGGAGGGGTGCTTTCATTTTCTTACCTGTAGCTTTGCACCGTATAGCAAGATTTCTTTATCAGAGAGTTATTGGTGTTGAGTGTAACCACGTTTTAGAAGGGTAGTAGTTATTGAATACTTAAAACTGAAGGCTTTATGGCCATGGCGAGAAAAACAGATTTCTCATGCCAGACCAAGGGTCTTGTTTCCTGAGCTGGCAGGACGTGGAAGGGCCAGGAAGACACGGTGTTCTGGCTTCCCAGGCGAGGAAGGGGGAGCTCATGTTAATGAGCAGTGAGACCGGCCAGGCCACCTGGAACGACATTCCTGGAGTCCAGGCCAGAGCTCCCACGAGATATGTATGGGAAGGTGAGGCCCACAGAACAGGAAAAATGCAGTTAAGGTTTTCAAGAAGGCTCTCCCTGGACCAGACCCCCAGTCCTGAGGCAGACAGGCCGCGTCAGAGCACACAGCCAATGGGAAGTGGATGGCACTGGGAAAACTAGTCCTGACAGGGCAACGGAGCAGCCAGCATCTTATAACAAGACTTAGTCCATGTACCGGTGGATAATTATGCTACTAAGAAGAGCTTAAAGTGACATTTTTCATGGAAAAACAGAAAAAGACAATAATCACCATTTTAACCTATCTTTCGATTGTGTTTCCACGATTTGGTTAGTGTAGAGAGAAAACCTAATTCCTAAATTTCACATTCTGTCTAAAGATATTTTTTTGTCTGTACAGAGTGAAGTCTGCATTCTCTCTTGTGAGTTAGAAAGTTGAGCAGGGTTGAAATGTTCTCTGAATGTTAAATCCTTTTCTGTGGCTGTATGAGTGCTGTGTCTTGTCACACGTTGCCTTTGTTTTTGTGATTTGGCCTATTGTACCTGCAGTGGTGCCTTTTGAGGGTTGGTAAGAATAAAGGCAGAAGATGGTCCAGTGTCTTGGAGATTTATCTACTTATTATTTTTTTTTTCCTTTTCATTATAGCTAGAAGGTATCATCCTAAAACATTTTGTGAGAATGAGAATTATTGGTATTTACTCTGTCCATGTCATACGTATTTATATTCTGGTCTTGTGACATTCACACAGCCTCCAATTTATTTGTTTTCTTCTTTTTCTTGTTGACAGAGCTGCTTGACAGGGTTGTCTGGGGACTACAACCTTCCTCTGTCAAATGCCTTTCAATGTTTCTCTTCTCGTTCCAGCCCCCCTTTCATTTGTGTCCCTGAAATTCAACTCTATTTCTCTAAGTTAATCAACTTTCACCTTTGTATTTAAAGTGCTTTAATTCAATCACTATAGTAGCAAGATGAACTCTCTTCTCGTGTTTGTATAATCAATTGATCAACAAGAGAA